AAAAAAAAGAAAAATATACATAGGAAATATGAAAAAATACTGTTTGTTAAACATCAGTATTTTCTGTGGTTTACTGTTATATGTATATGCAAGTGAAATATATGACAGTAGCAGAGATGATAGTGTTAAAATGCTGTAAGACTCTTGCAGTGTTCAAGAAGTAGTAAAAGTGCTCACTTAACGTAGTTTGTGATAAGAGAAGGATGTACAGAACAAATGAGAGATAGAAAACAAATAGCAAAATGGTAGACTTAAATTCAACTATGCCAGTGAAAACATTAGATACAAAGGGACTAAACACCCCAATTAAAAGATAATTGAGGGGAAAGAAAAATTTTTTCTCTCTTTGGTTTTGATAAAATGGAGTGGCAATTTCTAATATGCCATAACCCTAGACTTGCCCCATTGGGGGCAGCTATTTAAGGTGGGATGTCCCACCTGGCTTGGGAAACCTCCTCCCACCCCACGGAGTTACCTTCACTCTGGCTTGTTCACCTTTTCTATGAGAAATTAAGATGCTGTAACTTTTTGGAACCTCAGGTGGTGGTGCTGTTGTTTTGAGACAGTCTCACTTTGACACCATTGGTAGAGTGCTGTGGCATCACAACTCACAGCAACCTCAAACTCCAGGGCTTAAGTGATTCTCTTGCCTCAGCCTCCCAAGTATCTGGGGTTTATTACAGGTGCCTGCCACAACAGTGAGCTATTTTTAGAGACTAGGTCTCGCTCTGGTTCAGGCTGATCTCAAACCTGAGAACTCAGGTAGTTCATCCACCACAGCCCCCCAAGTGCTAGGATTACAGGTGTGAGCCACTGTGCCTGACCCATGTTGTTATCTTGAGACAGAGTCTTACTCTGTCACCTTGGGTAAAGTGCTCTGGGATCTAAAAGAAATCTTAAATAATTTCTTTCTTTTTTTTTTGAGACAGAGTCTCACTATGCCATCCTTGGTAGAGTTCTATGGCATCACAGCTTACAGCAACCTCCAACTCCCAACTCTTAGGCTTAAGCGATTTTCTTGCCTCAGCCTCCTAAGTCGCTGGGACTACAGGTGCCTGCCACAACACCCGGCTATTTTTTGGTTGTAGTTGTCATTGTTGTTTGGTAGGCCTGGGCTAGATTCAAATCTGCCAGCTCTAGTGTATGTGGCTAGTGCCCTAGCCGCTGAGCTACAGGCACGGAGCCAAAATCAAAAAAATTTTTGAACCATTTTTGAGACCAGCAAATAGGAAAGATGATTAACAATTCCCTTGTAGGAAATACCTTGCTGATTAGACTGGAATATTTCCATAATTTTCTAGTTTATTTTTCTCTAACAGAGAAGCATGTTACAACCCGAGAATGTCAGCCTCTGTCTCTGTTAAGACCTGTAAGGTTTCTAGAGTATAATCTAGAATGGGTTTAACAAACATGACTAACTGTAAGAATCACCTAGAGAGATTTTTAAAAACAGATTCCTAAGTCCTACCTACTAGAAATTCTTTACTTTAAAAAGGTGATTAGGCTGATTCCGAGTATTAGACAGATTTGGGAGTCACTGAAATAATGTTCCGTTTATAGTAGAGAATAGGGAGTGGGAAACATGAGGATATAAGAATATGAATGAATGAATTTGGAATAATAACTGGGGCAGGGCTAGGTGTGGCTAAAACCCATGAGACAAGATGCATATTCAACTTTAAAAGTTTTGGAACATGAAAATTAGGTACATTTGCATAGAGAAGCAAAGAAAAAAACTGCTGGCCTCTTTGCTTTTTATTTTTCTGTTGAGACGCAGTCTCATTCTATGCCCCAGGTAGAGTTCTCTGGTGTCATAGCTCACAGCAACCTCAAACTCTTGGGCATAAATGATCCTTTTGCTTCTCCTTCCCTTCCCAAGTAGCTGAGACTACAGGCACCTGCCACAACACCTGGCTAGTTTTCTGTTTTTAGTAGAGAGAGGGTCTTGCTCAGGCTGGTTTCAAACTCCTAAGCCCAAGCAATCCACCCCACTTCTGCTCCCAGAAGGATAGAATTACAGATGTGAGCCATGGCACCTCTTCTAAACCTCTGACTTTTCAAAAGCAAGCATGAGGTGACTCATGCCTATATTCCCAGCACTTTGAAACGCTGAGGCAGTAGTATCGCCTGAGGCCAAGGGTTCAAGACTAGCCTGGGCAACTAGTAAGTAAGTATAAGATCTTACTAGTAGTAAGATCTGGTCTTTACCAAAAAAAATTAGTTGGGCATGGTTATACATGCTTTTGGTTCTAGCTACTCAGGGGGCTAAGACAGGAAAGTAGCTTTAGTTCAGGTGTTAGAGGCTGCAGTGAACTGTAATCACATTACTGCGCTCTAGCCTGAGCAACAGAGTGAGACCTTGTCTTCAGAAAAAAAAAAAAAAAGCAATAGCATATGCTCCCTGCTAGTGCCACTCATGGGGCCAATCTTAGATGGGGTCCATCTTTGTCTTATTGAGGATAAATTATTATGTCATAAGTTCTTCTGTTCTTCTAATATCTCTGAGCAAGAGTTAGACCCCATCTCTACTAAAAAAATAGAAAAACGGCTCGGTACCTGTGGCTCAAGTGGCTAAGGCGCCAGCCACATATACCTAAGGTGGTGGGTTCAAATCCAGCCCAGGCCACCAAACAACAATAACGGCTGCAACCAAAAAATAGCCAGGCATTGTGGTGGGAGCCTGTGGTCCCAGGTATGTGGGAGGCAGAGGCAAGGAGTTGGAGGTTGCTATGAGCTGTGATGACACAGCACTCTACCCAGGGGGACAGCTTGAGGCTCTGTCTCAAAAAAAAGAAAAGAAAAACTATTCTATTTTTAGTAATGTAGTGGCTACTCAGGAGGGCTGAGGCAAGAGGATCATTTTAGCCCAAGAATTTAAGGTTGCCGTGAACTATGACATCACAGTACTCTACCCAGGGCATCAGAGTTAGACTATGTCTCAAAAAAAAG